ATCCGCTTCTCTTAAGTGCGTCAGTTGGCTAAGTACCTCTGATGCTAATACTTTGGTGACAATCGAAAATGGACTTACCACACATTGGTTTGCGCAGTCTTCGCGTGATCCCTTCTCTAAGATACGTACCATCAATTATTTGCTAATAGTGCACGCTCTTCCGACCAAATTTTATGTAGTAAGCCCAGTCACACTGAGGACTGACCGTTGCCCAAAGTACCACGGATAATGTTACCTAACCGGGAGACGGAACGATAGGCCTAGCTGTCTTGACCTTGGTCAGCAAGTGAATAAAGCATCTAATGCCTAATTCTATAGAATGCTCACACGTTGCTACTAGCAGAGCGTCATCTTCAGCTGTCGGATCAACCGCATTCGCATCAGGCCAGCTGAATTGTCCCCTAAATACTCTGTCCAGTGGCCACGCCGTTTCTTATTGTGGATGTTCTGTCCACTTTTACCGCAGATGATTTTTCCGACCGGCATGCGAACTTACGGTGTTGCGTATCAAGTGAAACAGTCGGACTATTTCTTAAGGCCAGCAGTTTTCACAATGTCCTGAGAATTTTCCAAGTCAGCGTTGCAGATAGCACCTGTTACCAGATTGGGATTTTCTGTCATTGTTCCATCAGGACTATAGACTGTTGGATAAACTTCGGGCTCGGATTCTCAGACATAGTTTGCAGCCAAATGCAGTGCACGTCCAACCTGATCTCACTGATGATCTACTTAACCGGACATCGGTGCTACTTTAGCTTTCTTTCATAACAGTTGCTAACGGCTAGGATACACAGATAATGTTGGGCTATCATTTTTCAAATCACGAAATATGCTCATTGTTTAGGAACACAATGTGGTCAAAAAGACCTCGGAACGGGATGTTTGGAGACACTGAAGATCATTCCAGCGAACCGAAAGTAGTGGCGTTCTTGTCACTTCGTATTAGACTATAATGCTTGAAAAAGCTTGTATAAATCGTTGAACTGTCTTATTTGGGTGTTGACTATTGAGGTCCTTTTTTCCCGTCACCCAAAATGGGCACAACCCCTATCCACTTCACATATTTTCACTAACGTCGTATGCATCAGTGAAGT